TTCCAGGCAGGCAGGGGCCCCTCATTGGGTGAGTCAGAGAGACCAGTCCTGCCCCAGCCTGTGCTGGTCCAGGACTGGGGCCAGGTTCCAGGCACATTTCCCCAGCACAGGGTCCATGCCAGCCGACGGTGCCTCTCTCCCAGCCGGGGGCCAGCCGGGCTGGGCGGGTGGGCCAGGCATCAGCCCGCTGGCTGGCTAGCAAGATTCGCATGGAGGGCCCAGGCTGTAGCTGGCGGCGCTGGCGGGGCTGCCCTGGCCTGCTAGCGCAGAAGAAAGGCCCGTCTGTCTCCGGCACGGATTCGTGGGTTCTGTCCATGCTGTTTCCAGGCGGCAGAGTCGGTTTTTTTCCACTGCGAGCTAAGCGAAGGGCCTGCTGAAGGCTCCTTTATGTGTCTGTTTGTGCAGGTCCCCCCAGGTGCCTGGCCGAGGGCAGCGTGTGTGTGTGTGTCAGCAGGGCCGGGGAGCCGGTGTGATTTCTGGCACGCGCCTGCACACGGAGCTGGCCAGGAGGCTGCTAGTCGGAGGGATCTCAGAGCCCCGAGCGGGACAGACTGTCCCTGAGCTAGCCCATCTCTGCCACGCCGACTCCCCCGCAGTGCCACCCAGTTGCTCTGCTCAGGACAAGGCAAACTTTTCCGGAGCTCTATTGCTTGGGGGGGGGGGGGAGGTGGGGAGCTGCCTGGCTTCCAGTCAATGTTCCTGTGGGGACTGGGCAAAGCCGACTCACTCTCTGGCCTCCAGCAAGTCCCTGTCCCTCCCTTGCCTCAGTTTCCCCAGGGTACGGAGTAGGACGATGATGCCAGACTGACGGGCGGGGTTGGAGAAGGACTAAGGGCTCTGCCCATGGGAGCAGCATTTCCTTCTCCTTAGTCCCCTGCCAGCAGCCCAGCTGAGGATCACTGCCAGCCTCCCGGGCCACGTGGGGTGCCCCAGAACAAGCCCTCCCAGGCTGGGTTCAGCCCAGAGCCTGCTCCTCTGGAATGAGCACTGTGCCGGTAGCACCACGGCCCACTGCCGGGCCCACAGCGGGGTCGCGGGGACCCATGCGGAGCATCCCTTGCGTGGACGTGGCAGAGATCTGACCTCCCCATGTGCGTTCCTTCCACAAGAAATGGAGCAGGCCAGGGAAACCAAGTGACCCACCCCAGATCAGCCGCCCCAGCTCTAGTGACCTGACTTCCAAGTGTAGGCCAGGCCTCGGGATCAGCTGTGCAGCCAGCCCAGCCGAGACAGCCCCCCCCCGCCCCTCCTCTCCCGTCCCTGCTGTCGGCCCCAGCTCACTACAGCCCCAGCCCTGCCCCGCTTCTGCTTGGCCCCCATCGGGGAGGTTTGCTTCACAACAGGAACCACTAGGGCCTTGGTTCTGAGCGGGACAGAGAGCCACCGTAGGACAGATATGAACACGCTGAGCCTGGGTGCGCTATTTTCATTCAGAACCTCCTCTGCTTCTCTCACCAGGCGCTCTCCCCTCTATCTAGCATGAAGAATGGCCAGATGGCGGTCACCCAACAGTAGGCCAGCCAGCCCAAGGTCCTGTCTGCCCACGGTGGCCAAGGCCAGGTGCCCCAGAGGGAGGGAACAGAACAGCGAATCCTCAAATGTCGCATCCCCTGTCACCCATTCCCAACTGCTGACAGAACGCCATCCCTGCCCATCCTGGTTAACAGCCATTGATGGACCTATCTCCCAGGAATCTATCTAGCTCTGTATTGAACGCTGTTAAAGTCCTGGTCTTCACCACATCCTCTGGCGAGGAGTTCCACAGGTTGACTGTGCGCCGCATGAAGAAAAACTTATTTTTGTTTGTTTGAAACCTGCTGCCTATTCATTTCATTTGGTGACCCCTTAGTTCTTGTGTTACAGGAACAAGTCAATAACTTTTCCTTATTCACTTTCTCCACACCCGGTACGATTTTATAGACCCTTGTCTGATCCCCCCCTTAGTCTCCTCTTTACTAAGCAATCTACTGGCTAGAAGGATGAAGCCCCATGACGATCGTACTGCGGAGGCACAGCAGCTGCTAAGGAAAATCACGCTGCTTTTCAAACCCGCCAAAACCCACCCACCAACCAATCACAGAACTGGTTGGACTTAATTTGTTTGGCGCATCAGATAGCCTTTGGCCAGGCCACTGGGAAACCGCCCTGAATCAGAGCCCTGGACTGTGCCCAGTGCCAGCATCGCCAGGCTGCCACGCCCTGCACCTAGGCTCACTGGTAACTCCACCAGGCGACAGCAGTCACAGCGCATGCAGCTGTTGCAAACCCCGCTGTTGTGTTTGCCTCCTGCAGCAGTGAGTCCCTGTGGTTAACTTCAAGCTTCCCTGTATGACTATCCCTCTTGTAGCTCAGCATATACTGGCGTTCAGTGACCCCGCCCGCTCCCAAGAGCTGAGCGCCAGGCCGGGACCTGTGCTCAGGAAGAGACGGCCTGTTCCCCATCGGATGGCACAGGACGTACAGGGGACAAGGAAACTCCAGCTCCCGGAGCTGACAACAGGAAATTGTCACCGAGTCATTTGCTGGCAGCGTTTTGACTTGGTGCGGCCTGAGCCTTGTGTGAGCACCGGTGACACTGCAACAGCACCCTGGGGGCAGCACGTCTCCCGCACTGGCAGCTCGCTCACCTGCCCGCTCCGACCGCTTAGGGCCTCGACCCATCCTGGGCTGCAGCGAATGCCACGTTCCTGTGGGTGCCACAGGACCTGGCTGCATGAAAGCCGGCCGGCTCCCCTTCTGTGTTTCAGGGACTGCCCCCTGGTGTCTCAGGGCAGCCGGGAGCCCAGCAGCTGGACACAGCCTCCCCCCAACATCTGCCTCTGCCTTACCCGCTGCACAATTCCTCGCCATTACGTGGAGAGGCGCAGCCCATGGCGTTCTGCTGGGCAGTAGGGATGCAAACTCCCGCTTGAGTAGTTAATTGATAGTTAACTGATTAAATGGGAATGGCAGGGGCTAGAGCAGGCCATGAGTAGGGGGCTGCTCCTGGGTGCAGATTACTGGTTACCTGGGAAGTATTGCCCGTGAAGGGTGATGCTTACAGGCTTACCTGTTAACGTCTCCACTCTGGCCAGCCTCCCCTTCCTGCAGGGATGCGGCCCACAAAGACTACATGTCCCAGCATGCAAAGCTGTAGACAGGCCAGCTGCCTATCTAGGGGTCAGGCTGGAGATTAACAACACAGCCAAGGGCCATGTTCAGAGGCTGTGACCTGAGGGGAGCCCCTTGTAGGCCTCCTATTCATCGTGTCTATCTAATTGGGATAAAGCATGCCATGGAAGGCGTCGTGGGCACGCTCTGCTGAAGGTGTAGGTTGCTGGTGCCCATGAAGCTGGGATCATGGCGCATGGCTGCCACTCAAATGTGCTGCGCGCGTGGGATGGCCCAGGTACCAGCTCTCCGGCACGGGAGCGAGCCAATTGCCTCCTGCAGCAGAGAGTCCCCTGGGTTAATCACAAGCTCCCTGGTATGACTATCCCCTTGGAAGGGAGCAGGCAAAGAGTCACCATCAACAGCCCTTGCCCAGCCTGGGAGCTACAAGTCGAGCTCACATCAGGGGACTGCACAGCCTGACCTGAGGAGCAGCAACGTCCCCAGAGGTGCAGGACTTGCCTTCTCCTAGGCCAGTGTTTCTCAACCAGTGGTACGTGTA